CTTTAAGCACAACTATAGGTTGTTGATATTAGGTTGTTCTATTAGGTTAGATATGTTGTTTATATTCTATATATTTCAAATACACCATACAATCCAAATGACTTATACTATCTAATGAATTCATATTATAATGTGAATCGCTTTCCTTTACACATATATACCTTTATAGAAATAAATAATAGCCTAAGTATCAGCTATTTGCACTTCAAAGAAATTGAAGAATTCATTGAAATGAAATAAAAATACCAGCTAACAGCACTCAAAGAAAAAATATAAATATATAAATATAAATAGGAATAGGAAAATAATTTCTGTAAGAAACGTCTTATTATAAGTAGTAAAATAGTCTTTTTCGGTCAAAATTGACTTCAAAAAATATATTTAATTATATTGTACTTTATGCTCTTAGCTTCATTTTTGACAAAAACTATGTTGCTTTTAAAAAAATAAACTTTATATTTTTTTTTGAAAAAAATATTCTTAAAGATAAATATCACTATCTTTGCTATAGCAAAAAACAAAAAAAAAACGAAAATAAAAACTTGTAATTAAACAAGTTACATATTCATTACAAGATATAAAACAAGCATAACAAAATAGCACTAAAAATCAAAATACCACACAAAATGATAATGATAAAAGCCAACAAAACGAACACTTATCAAGACAAGAGCACAAATATTATCACAGCAGAACAATGAAATTATCAGTGAAAATAAAATAATTAATTTTTTTTATATATAATTTTTCATTTGCATGTAACTGACACACTTCAGCGAAATAAAAGGTACTTCACAATCAAGACCAAAAAAAATGGTAATAAAATGTACGCAATTAAAAATGTCAAAAAGTTTGGTTATGTTGAAAATGTTAACAAATCTTTAGAGAAACATTAAAAAAATTGTAGCCACAACTAAAACAAATGAACTGTTTATTAAACTATCCTTAAAACAACAACACTAACCATAAGAAAAATAGGAAATACTAATATTGCAGGCAACATACAGACAGACTGACATAGACAGACTTACACGTACTATCAGATACTAGCCTATGTGGTACGTAGCAGTAGATACACGCCTCAAATATTTAGAGACACGCAGAACGTTTAATTTAATTTCCCTGAAAGCTCACAAAAATGAAAATAAATGTGAACAAAAAAAAATTAATGAAGGAATTCAAAATGTGCACATAAAACCAAATTGAAGATTTCCACGAAAATCTGTTAAAAACCTATTATGTCCCATATAATAAAAAAGAAATTCGAATAAAAAAACTCGAAAGTGAATTTTTTACAGCTATGAAAATTATCATAAAAAAGAAAAATATTAATAATAGTAACTAAAAAGGGATTTCAATATAATGGAAGGCCTTTTGTATGAATTTTGTCAACATATAAAATGTTTAATTACAACTGGTCAGGAGACAGTGGACAGGAATGCGTTTACATTGGCAAGTCATGTAGAAATTACTAACAGGAATGTTTTTAACAGAGCCACAATAGTGACAGCGAATAGACATAAATATGTCAACGAAAGTATTTCATATGATATATATAGAATACTATTCAATGCAACGACAAGTAAAATTATTACAATAATTAGGGGTTAGATAATTAATCTTAATAAATTTATTTTAAAATAAAAGAAAAAGTAAAATAATGAAAAATAAAATTTCAAATTTTTAAATTAAGCAGAAACGTATTTTATCCTACTCTATGTTCTATCAATCTTACTAAAATCTCCATTATTTGGTGAAGATTTTAAACGTTTAATTAAATGTTAGACAAGTTATGTTTTGTAACTGAATAGGTTTCTTTGAAAAGTAAGGACCTAGTATCTTCGTTGCTGACAAAGCAGATGTAAAGCATTTTCTTCTTCTTTTCTAGTATCTATGTTAATTATACTCTGAACAATAACAAAGCAATGACTTTCTAAATCTTCTATTAGCATTGCTTAACTAATAATTATCCGTCAGCATACTACCTAGATACAATCCATATAATTTCATAATATACGAACTTTCGCAACATTATAAATAAAATCAAAATTGGGCTCAAAGTGGATAGCCTTTTAGTCCTTTTAAACCAATTTTAAACAAATAAACATTAAGACTAATTATTTTATAAAGAACAGGAGAAGTTAATCATCCCTATTATTTTTTATTAATAAAATATCTATAGTTACTCTTCTGTAAGTATTGGTTCTGAAATATACGCATTTATTTCATAAGTACATCATTCAGAATGGACTAACGCTTTCAGTCGATGTACTATATTATTTATTTAATTTCTCTATCTCTATCGATTTCTTAATAATATCTAATAACCTATATCTTTATAATAATTTATGTCGTATATAAATATATAATCTAAATATATATATAATCTAAATATTATTTAGATTATATATATATATACATAATCTAAATAGTATAAATATTAACACTACACTATACTTTAACATGTAAATGTTAAAAGGGTAGTGCATACTTTTTGAGTCCCTATTAGTAACCGGTGTTTGATACTTATTCAACTAAAAAGATTTTTTTACTATAGAATAGTTTCAATAGAACCCCACCTACACTTTCACTCACTTCTCCATTACTCTATTTTTCTTGTATTCTACACATTTCAAACACCTCTCCCTGTATATCGCCCCCCTTCCCATGTGCTGTTTTTTTGCATATTTCTGCTTTATGGATTCCATACGCGGATTTCTAAAACAATAATAAGAACACATCAATATTCACTTCTTGACAACTGCTCTGTAACTATAGCAGATTTTTTGTGCTATTAGCTGATCCCAAATAAATATAATCGCTATTGGAATACTTTGAAATATTTCTATATTACCGTAGATAAATGGAGGCTTACGGAGCATAGCCAATTAGTAAACTTAAACCAGCTGATAGAGTCGCGACTGCTACCACCATAAGAGACTAGTCCCAGAGCATAGATTATCTCTACTTCTACTACAATTGGCTTTATTATTTAATGTATTAAGTAACAGACAATGATACGAGGCTCCCGATGTGTAGACTATTAGAACATTTCTCTTTAAACGTACTGATCTAATCTCTTCTTGTGCCACCATTATCCAACAATAACAGAAGCTTTCCGTAGTATTAGGTAATTATCAGAACACTTTTCTTTAAACTTATTAGTCTAATCCCTACTCATAGTACCATTGATTTATTTAAAGCATAAAGTATCAGATTACATCAGAGTACAGATTTTTTAATTTGTATCTTATAATTTTATGTTTTTTAGTCAGTTATTTTATTTCTATAAATTTTCAATTTAATATACGTAAATCAGTAAAATTCAATTTTCCCAAAAACTAACGTTGCGGAAAATCTTAAACATAAACTTACTTTAAAAAAGTAAGAAACCAAAATGTTCATGTCTAAATTAGTATTCCTAATTGCGTTAGAATTATAATAAAATTAAAAAAGACGTAATTTTTAAATATTTAAAAAATAATATTTAAAACAAAATTTGGTAACATTAGTAACAAAAGTCAAAACAAGCCGGCAATTAAGCGCTAAACATCAAGTAGTCGCCATATGAATACGGCTGAGCCGAAAAGAGCAGTTAAAACTACTTAAGTAAATAGTGAAACAGTTAGTAGCTCGTCTTTTGTGCTATGCAAAGCATGGGTATATATGCCACTCCATATACCATACCTACTATATATTACATTGCAGGAGAACAATAGACCATGGGAGTTCAACGGTTCAAGCACACCAACGCATATTTTAAACATTTTTGCTACTACCAGAAAAGGTTACCAACTGCGGTTGCTACTAAATTTTAGGCCTAATTAAAATGTAAAAAAGTAACTAAGCACGCCGAAAGATATTTACAAAAACAAAGACAAAGTGAAAAAGTGAAAAAAGTATATATATAATGAAAATAAAAGAAACTGAGACAAGGCAACCGAATCCATCATTTCCGCTTGCTTGCATACTCATTTTTATTAAAATTGTTCTGGCTTTTAGTTTTTTTTTTCTGTTTTAGTGAATATTTTTGGTTTTATTTTAAAGCTGCAATATTTGCTGTACTAACCAAGTTAACAACTAAGGCTTAAGCTGCTGCTTTTCAGACTATTCGAACTGTTAGCTAAGTAGTAAGAGTAGAGCTTCTGAATTCTTTGTGAAATTTTATAGTTGATTTTTTTTGTTCAAATACTTGCAGCTTGTTTTTACTAACAACTGCGCTTTAACACTGAATCAGCTGTATTTTGCAGATACAATTTTCTACACAGTTGCCTTTTCTCAGACTAAAGACTGCAACTACACTGCAACTGCAACTGCAACTGCACTGCCGTGGTAAAAGTAAAATTCTTGCACTAAAATTCAGTTCAGTTCAGTTGTCGACAAACTTGCTTACTAACCTAAGCTCGGCTCACTTGCTTTTATGGCCCAATTCTGCTCAGAGAAGCGAGTGACTGGTCGCTTTAGAATAAAAAGATCCAAACAAAACCCTTGCCCATGCATTTAACTTGGCTAAAATAAAGCGAAAAAAAAGTAATAAATAAATTTAAAAATAAAATTTTATATACTTTTTTGTTATACGCATTTTTGTGAATTTTTTATTTAATTAAATTATGAGTAACTAATTTTGGTATGTTGTATAAATTCACAAATCGCCATAAAAACACAAGAATTGACCATAAAAATATTATGCAAATTGGCTTAAATGGTATTTCACATTATTGGTATTGTTGTTGTTGTTATTGTTTTTTGTGGTATCACTCGTTTTTTATTGCCAACAATATTTTGAAAATGAATAATTTCGTCTTTTGTATGTTAAGCTCAACTGCTTAAAGCAATAAGAGTTCATAAATGTGATAATTAACATAAAAATGTTTTTAAATTTTAAAATTAAATTTCATATAAATAGTAATATTATGTATTATTAAGTAACTATTAAATAAATATTTCTCTTTCTCTGCCACCACCAACCACTATAAACGCATTTCTCTTATTCATTTCAGAAGGTCGTGAATGTGTCAACTGCGGTGCAACATCAACTCCTCTGTGGCGACGCGATGGCACCGGTCATTATTTGTGCAATGCCTGTGGTTTATACTATAAAATGAATGGTCAAAATCGACCATTAATTAAGCCAAAGCGAAGACTGGTAAGTCATGTTACAACACACAATATACTTACATACTCTTATATTGTATATATACACATATTTATAACAAAATTATAGTGAAAAATAGAGTACATACTCGTATAAATAAAACTCACCCTTAAGTAAGGTTACTAACCTTAGTCTGAGTAGTAAACAATATAGGTATACGCTTTTGCTGTTAATTAATAATAATTTTAATTTGTGCTTAGTATGAAATTTAAAATTGTTAGACCATTATCTGTCCCCACAAATTATTAGTTATTAAAATATGAATAGTAATAGTAAGAAACAAAAAAAAGGTTCAGCAATATATAAGCAGTCAACTTATTAGTACTATTATTTCTTTTTTTTTTTTTGCTAATGTTTTGAAAAAATAAACTATTCTTAACAAATCCCATAACAAATTAAAAAAAAATAAATTTTTAACATTTTACATATATTAAAATCATATATTTTGATATTGAACTAAATCAAAATTATAATTCCAGTATAAACAAATTTTCTTACTTAACATAATCGTTTGCTATTCGTGTTAATTCAGGATTAACAGTAAAAATTTTAAACATTCCATTTGTATTAAAGTCATTCATCTTTCCAACATTTAAAATTTTATTTATAAGTGTGAAATTAAAAACCAAATGAGAATTATAAGGCTTGTACATACCCAAAAACTATACAGATACTGAATATTGACTTATAACTGTTACTTGTAAAATACGTTGGTCTTGATACATAAGTATTACAAACTGTTTCTTTTTACAGAAATTACTTAATACATATCTCTTTCATTTTAGGTGTAGTACTATCATGTTACTTGATAGTGAACATATTCTTATAAGTCTATACTTGACATTAAAAGTAATATTAATTGCATAAAAACAAATGAAATGAGAATTATATTTTTATTTTTTTATTTTTTAAAAAAAGAAAATAAAAATATTTACTTAAATGCTCATAACAGCCTACTATCCTACCAGGTTTTGGACTGATAAAGATATTATGAAATTTCCTTAACATTCTTCGCGTCATGTTAATTACAGTCCCTTTCAGCTTTAAATATTTAAACATATATTATAGAAATTATGCGGTAATTTTTTCTTTTGATAGAATTCGTAAGATGTTCGAATTATTTTTAAAATATGATTTAAGTCTTAAAAGTAACAAAAAAAAAAAATTTGTTAAAACCAAGTCTTAAATAAAAATGATCAAAATTCCATCCTTAACCTTTATAACCTTATATACAAATTTGGTCAAGGTTATGAACAATAAATGAAATTCAATTTAACAGCAATATTTCTTTATATATTAAATTTAATTTTAAATTTTTTTTTATTTTATTTTTGTATTGCCACAATGTCTATTTAATGTTGTTACTGTTCAGAGTACTGTGCCAATTGTTCTCGATGGAGACAACTTTTTGTACAGCCGGACGTTTCAGCCATTAAACATTAAACATTTTTTTCTCCTTCGTATGATTGTTGCTATTGTAATTTGTAAAGGCCTTTTAAGCTTGCATTATAATTAAACGCAATTATTGAACTGCCAGCAGCATCTTAAACTGCAATAATACGAGAATTTAGTGAAACAAAATTACAATGCAACTCTACGTACTTACAATAGCTTAAAAGATTACAGAACAATGCAAATTTTTAATTTATGTGTTTTAGCCTTAAACCAACACGTTTGTAACAATAACTTGGTTGTTAATTTTTCTTCATTTTTTTCTTATTTTGTATCATCTAAAACAATTTACATTAAATTTCAACGTAAGTAGAGTTTTGTTAAGTAATATTACTCTACTGTACAATTCCATAACAATTTTCTCTATGACTGACTGACTATGATGTGCAAAATAAAAAATAAAATTAATATGTAGTTCATATTGAATTTCTATAATTATAGAAAAATTTCTTTATTTCATAGTTAAATTATTTTTATTGCAAAAATGCAAGTGTGAAGTTTCGGAACTCACAGCAAAAGATACTAAATACAACGTGAAACTAAAGAAAATCTTATGTTCAACGGATATCTAATGGAATTTAACAGAAGGTTAACAGAAGCTTAACATGACCTTATTGCTACAGTCTGAAAAGTATCAATGGAAAAATATTACATTTAATAAAAGGTTGAAAGGAGTTTAAGAAAACCTTAATTATAATATATTAAAATTGTCTATAAAAAGATGAAGTAATATAATATATAGCAGTGGAATAATAGTTTATTTTTATATCAATCTATGGCATTGGTTTAACAGAAGACTAACAGGAACTTAACATTATATTAACTACATTATAAAATTATCTATAAAAAGATATAGTAAATATATAGCAATGAAACAATAGTCTATTTTTATATCAATCTATGCCACTGGTTTAAGAGTAGGCTAACAGGAGCTTAACATTATATTTACTGCATTATAAAAGTATTTATAAAAAGATATAAATGTGTAGCAATGAAACAAAAGTTCATTTCTATATAAATCTATGACACTGGTTGCACTAAAATTGCCTTCCTTAACGCAAGGTCAATAAATCATCCAGTTAAACTAGTGTTCGCCAAACAAAATAATTTATGAAATTAATGAAAATAGTTGTAGTAATATATAGTTTGATGGTATTAGCTCTTATATTCTTTAAATAAATATATTCTACATTAGCTTGTTCTTTATAATCAACTCTTTTCCAAAGCATTCACCGCTTTTGCCTAACCTCTAAACCGCCACTGTTCGCACCAGCAGTTCTGTTTAAATATTTCAAAGTGGCGGCAAAATTGTATGTTAAACATTTAAATCAATACAATTGCCACCCAGATTTATGCCTGATTTTTTATGCTAAAAGAAAACAATTGAATTGCATTTCAAATTGACTAAACGGCAACGAGTTGACATTGTTCCAAGCCGCAGCGTACCAGTTGAGTTTCGGTGTGAGAGACAGTGATGTGGTACATCCTGCATTTAAATTTGATTAAGGTGCTTAATAATATAATAAACAATATAAAAATGAGAATTAAAACAAAATGCATGTTAATAAGATTTTTACAAAGAATTTCAATTTCAAAGTCAGAAAAGTGTCAGAAATATGCATAGATTGAATAGTTAAGAAAAAAATAAATAAAAAAAATAGTGATAAAAATAAAATTCACAAAAAAATTATATAAAATGTAATTAATATACATTTATTTTTATTAAATTTACTAAGAGAAACAAATAATTTTTTACCATTATTAATTTATAAAATTTTTTCCAAAAGACAAAAGCATAAAAAAATATAATTAATATATATCATATATTTAAAATTTCCATAGAAAAATAGTTAAAACGCATAAAAATGCAGCCAATGAAAAATGAAAAGTCAAAAAACATAAATTTTAATTTGTTGCATATTTTGTCAACAACACTAAAAATGTCAACAAAAATCAACAATAAGCCATACCCAGCTGTGAATTTCTTGGGAATTCCCTTCATAAGCATACATGAATTGCTTGTCCCATCCAAAAGGCAAGAAACCTAAGAAACCTCGTACAACAAGCAGCCAACCAACCATACAACATGCATACATTTCCACCTCTGCATTTAGTATGTATTTTTCTGTCTGCTTTTATGCTGACGATGCTCAAAGCTCTCTGCTGGCAGAGTGAAGCTAACCATAAGGTATGTTCAGTTTATTTCATTGCTAATGCTGCTGCTGCCATTGCTGCTGCGCTGCTGTTACGGCTGCTGATGTTACTGTTGTTATATTACTCTGTCCATGCTATGTAGTTTGCAGCAATGCGTATGCGCAAGTTTAACACAGCAGCATCATTGAACCAATATAAGTCGTTTTAGTCGTTTTTCTTCTCATTGTTATTATTGTTGTTGTTTGATGATTTTGTTGCTTGATGTTTTTGTTGTTTATGTTGTTGTTGTATTGTAAACGTTTAATAATGGCATATTTATGTTAATATTATGCAATCAAAATCAATACACCTCGAATTCCAATAAAAAATCAATGCTGCCCATAAAGAAAACATTAAATCGTTGAAGTTGCTTTAAATTTGGTTAAATTGAATAAAATTTAAAGGTAACAAAATATTTAACGGGGGGAAGAAACTGTTAGTATTAATCAATATGTGAGAAATAACGCTTCAAATATGTATAGATGAAGATGGTTTAACTAATAGACCTATTTAGAGTTTTTTTAATATATTTTTAACTAGAAGTTTGTTATTGTGGGTTTTGGTTTGTTATTGTTGATATTTAATATTCATTATAGTTGAACTACTATTCAAGGTGGTAGTTTCAGTTGTCCAAAACTCAGGAGCTGAGTTTTATAATTATTTCTGTGCATTTAATTACTACGTTAACTCTGCATAAAATCTAACTTGAATGGATGCAAGTAATATAAGTACGATAAAGACTATATATAGAAAAAGCTACAGTTTCCTTAAGAGACTTTAGATTAAAGTCAAGATATTAAACTAAATAAAAATTAGTGTAAAATAATTTAAGCTGTTTTCGTTTAATTTTTAGTTTTAATAAAACTTTAACGTAATTGACTAATTAGCACAATAACGCATTAATAATTATAGCTTCTAATATCAATTAATATACTTCCCTATATTTCTTGTTAATAATACGTATAATTGGATGATTTTCGAATAAGTTTATCTGGACTGCTCTCGTGACTAATAACTAAATCCTAGTAGTTACCATGTCACAAAATACAACAAAATACTGAAAGCGCAAAAATTTTATCAAAAAAAGAATAATAAAAAAATATATAATTAAAAATATTCATTTATTAAATGAACTTTAATCATTTAAGTAGATTAGTTCAAGGCTTTATGTTTAAGAAATGTTATGTATGTCATTAACTAATTGGTTTCTTTATAAGAATAAAAGTAGTTCAAAATTTTAGAAACTCTCTTTTTATCTTTCTTTCTTTCTATTACTCTATTTCTTCAAAACTTTATAAAATATTAACTTGTTTTTGTTTCGGCATTTTCTTTTTCTCTTCCTCATTGATATTTTCCTGTTTTTTACTCTCTTCCTTTCTTTATAGATTTTAGTTACATTCTATTTATTTCTCTCATGCTTTTCTCTCTTCCTTTCTCTTCAAGCATTTTCCTCTTCCAGTCACGGTTGCCACCACGGTTGCCACTTGAAAATTTTTTTCTGTACCAAAATTGGTTTAAAAAGGTACCATTTCTGTAAAAAAAGGTCCAAAATTTTTTTGGACCTTTTTGTTTTCTCGTTCTGTGTTTTTTATAGTGTTATAAATGAACAAAATATAAAATAGTGCAAAGTTACATTTATAAAAAAAATTAATTGGAAATATCTACAATAAAGTTGGGTCGTCAAAAATGTACCAGTTTTTGAAAATGAGTACCAAACGAAAAAAAAAAAAAAAAAAGTACCACGGTTGCCACTTATGGTACTTTAGTACCAAAATTGGTACCTTTTTTTTCGTTTGGACTCATGTTCAAAAATTGGTACATTTTTGACGACCCAACTTTATTGTGGATATTTCCAATTAATTTTTTTTTATAAATGTAACTTTGCACTATTTTATATTGTGTTCATTTATAACACTATGAAAAACACAGAACGAAAAAATTTTGGACCTTTTTTTACAGAAATGGTACCTTTTTAAACCAATTTTGGTACAGGAAAAAATGTTCAAGTGGCAACCGTGCTTCCAGCATCTGTCTTTTACTATCCCTCTCTCTTTGGTATCTCTCTTTCTGACCCTATATCTCTCTTCCTGTCTCTATTTTTCTTTCTGTCTCTATCTCTCTTTCAGTCTCTATCTCTTCTATCTCT